CGAACCACAGGATATATTCCAAAAACGTGGAAACGAGGAATCCCTGTTCCTATTCATAAAGGAGGCTTTAAGAAAAAGAATGACCCTAACAACTATAGACCGATTTCCTTGCTACCGGTACTCTACAAACTTATGGAGAGAGTGATTTGCAAACGAGTATCACGCTGGCTTCATGATTCCCACGTTGAATTTCCTTCTGCTCAACAACAGGGTTTTCAGAAAGGTTTAAGCTGTATAACTACAGCATTTAGTCTGCGTGAGTGTATATATGAGAATTTAGAACAGAACAGCAAAGTCTATGTAGCATTCTTATATACATATAAAGCTTTTGACACGGTGCAACACAACAGTATATTCAGTAAACTTTACAAGATTGGAGTCACTGGAAATTTGTACAGAATATTGCGTAACGCATATCAGGACATATACAGCGCGGTAGTTTACAATCGTGCCCGATCTCGTTGGTTCAAGGTCCAAAGATCAGTCAGACAAGGTGGAATCATCGCGACATTTCTATACTTGCTGCACATTAATGATATGCTAATTGAATTGGAGACTACTAACGTTGGCACGAAAGTACAATCCATTGAATGTGGCAATCCATGTTTAGCTGATGACGTTGCCCTTGTTACTACTAGCCCTAGGGCCTTACAAACTCTGCTAGATGTCACACAAAGGTATGCTGAAAATGGAAATTTCAGTTTAATGCATCAAAATGCAACATAGTAGCTTTTCGAAGTACATGCAGAAATCTGAACTGGATGATTAATAGCAACCCACTTCGTATAGTCGATAAGGAGGTACACTCCAACCTGAAAAACGCCGACGCCGTTGACAACGCTTGAAAGAAAGGCCGTGACATGTTACACTCAATCACGCGCATGGGAACTGACTGTACTTACACGAAACCGCTTACTCTTATTAGCATCTACAGGAAAGTTATACTTCCGTCGATGTTATATGGATGCGAATTATGGAATAATCTAACTAAATGCGATATCCGAAAGCTCGAAACTTTCCAACACTATGCAGTAAGCGTATACTTAATCTACGGACATCCACTCGATCGGATATGTGCGAGTATAGTCGGACTACACAGGATTCAGTGTGAAATTGAGAAAAGAAAAATGTACTTCTTACGTTGTATTGTTGATTGTTCACCAAACAGCATTCCAAAAAGTATTTTTATTCGTAGAGTTCTTAAATATATAGATGGACCGAAATCAAAGCAAATGGGGTTTATCCCTGATATCCTAGCAATCTTAACCAAATATGAATTATTACAATGGATACAGTATTATATCCTATGCGCAGAATTCCCGTCCAAGGCTCAATGGAAACTTTTAGTTAAAGGAGCTATTCAAATACGCGAAGATCGCTTATTGATCGAGAGAATGAAGTGATGACGAATTCGTTCGATTTCGATCTGTCCACTCTACCTATAATAAGCCGTATGTCATGCTCAAAACACCGGACATCGACAAAAGGACAGTCCTTTATAATTGTAAAATGCTAACGTGTGTTCCTGTAGAACAGTACAATACATGTAGGTTGTGTAACAATCCGTTTTACGACACAATAAGACATTTTGTCACAGAATGTACAAGTACATTTATTTTGAGAGACACATTCATGACAAAAGTCGTGGATTATTACGGTGTACAACCATATTTGATCATGTCCAGCCTTGCAGAAGAACTCCTGCTCCAGACAATATTTAGAGGGAACATTTCGGGATTTGAATTTGAAAGTAATTCTATAACAGAGGAATTTACAAAGGACTGTGCCTATCTACTGCATAAAACAGCGGAAATCTATTTCCATGCTGGTGAACTGTGAAATATAAATGTATTTTGAGCTCAGAAAATTGGTAAAAAGTTATCCTTGATCGCAATGTGCTTTTAGCACTCATTTTCTTCATGTAAATTTATCCATTTCGCTTTAAACTTTCATTTTCTGTACTCTCAGCTTTGAGGAATAAAGAATGATGTGTTGTTTTAGATAGTTCAAAAGCGTTTGACACTATCTAGCAAGGCGGATTATTAGTTAAACTATACGATATTGGCATAACCTGTAAAGTGTGGAACACTCTGTGATATATGTATACAGATGTACACAGTTCTGTTATCATAAACGTCTTAACCTCCACCACTGTAAAACTGGAGAGGGATATCTTACAAGGAGGGGCCCGGTCTGCCGAAATGTGTTTAGCATTCATTGATGGTTAATTGAATGAAATTGAAAAGAGTGCTTGGGGCGCTTTGATAATTGATAACATTGTGAACAGTCCAACACTAGCAGATAGTATATGTTTAGTAAGTGCAGGTGCCAAGTTATAGGTTTACAGAAAATATAAACTATATGAGAATCCTACAGCCGAAACTGGGGATTATTGTATTATTCTTCAAAAAGTGGTATTTTCATGTCAAAGAACCATTAACATAAGCTGTAACGTCCGTCTCTACAATGATACATTACCAGTTGTTGGAGAAATCATTCCTTTAGGTATTCTTTTGAATTCTATAGAAAGAACGAAATGAGCTTGTAACAAATAAAAGTGGTACTATTGCCCTTTTGCGCTTCGGTGCACCCCAAACTTTGATTCTATTTACAGTTTCAAAGATTGAAGTCTACCCTTCTGCACTACGGATACGAACTTTGGATGCTTCCGAATATTTAATGCTAGACAGGACGCGACATTTTATTGGTAAGTCTATCCAGAGAACGAGAACTGATATGTTCATCTCTTTACATGGATGGACGTCTTCAGAAGATTATATAGATATCAAAAAACTGTCGTTTTAGGCAGGATATGTAATATGAAAAAAATCAACCTGTAAAGTTATTTTAGATGTCTTTGTTTACAGTAAATAGGTTATATAGCGGATATCGTCAGGGTACTTAAAAACTATGATTTATTTGTATATATCCAACTATTCTTAGATCATATATAAAGATGTATATATATGTAGATGATATATAAAGTGTACTGGAAGTCATTACTTTATAAATCTGTTATTGATTACGAAACGAACCCTTCACACGATCTTCGCTATAACAAGATTATTTGACACTATTTATAGAAACTAACTCGGTACCATCGATGTTATCTGGACAGTGTCCGGTATATAATCAAAACGATGGTTTCTGTACGGGTTTCGAATACACACATTGTGTCATTATTGTCGTTGTTTCTATACAGATATAGTAAGTCATGTTATTTTACATTGTGCTGAAACAGAAGACGACCGTGATGATCAATGATGTGTAATCGCCTCAAGTTCAAATATCAGATTTGGTTTTATTCTTTGTCAGAATTTACATTTTTACATATTTTATTTGGAAGTCCATCGACCTATCCACGAATTAAAATACAAATCTTAGTTTACCACTCCAATACAATATTATCAATGAACGGGAAGTATTGGAGTGGTATATTAACACCTGTATTACAATCAGATTGCCTGACCTTAGACAAAACTGATTTAGAACAATTTTGGCCCAACTCGTTACATGCTTTAAAAAGACGTTTGACTTTAAATTCTCTTTAAATTACAGTTGATTTGTGTAGAAAAATATGAGGTAATCTAATGTAAACTTTTGTGTTTATATTTTGTATGATTATAAATATTTACACACAGATACATTGGTATTTTGTTCAAACATATTCACGTTAAGAACATGAAACATATGTATCACGCATAAATATAATAATTTATTAGAATATTAGACTTGAAAACAAACATGCAATCTATATATAATTTAATTTTTCTAAGTATGACTAAATATTGACTATCGATTGTGTGCATCAACTGTAGCATATTACATCTAACAGATGGCCAAATTATTCACTGGAATATTTGATTTTAAGCTGGTAAACTGTATAATTTTCTTTTTTTTTTTAAACATAGAAACAAGTCGACTATAAGTGACATACAATCAGGATAAAAACTGCATTATACAACAGGATGATAGATCACGTGACAGATATTAAATACTTATGAAAGACGAATTGATTTCTGATGACAGTAGCCCCAGGCGATCAGGGCAAATCCTTTTAAAACGAAGATAATGACTAATAAATATAACAAACTGACACTCGGAAAACTGTATGATAAATCAACTACGGGATTAAACATGGATTTCTAAAACGTTTCATTGAACTAAGTGCACGATTAAATGCTTAAATCATTAGGGCATTACAAGACATTCTCCTTTATGTTAAAAATTTGTCTCGTTTCTTTAATAAAGTATATAAACATGGCCATTCACCTCTTCAACCGAAAGTTTTTGTTTTTGTTTTGTTTTTATTTTGTTTTTATTTTGTTTTTGTTTGTTTGGTTTTTTCTTTCAAATCATAACGAAAGTTCAAGCAACTCGTGCGGTTTGCATATGAGATGGTTTCCGTTGCGGGATTGTCCATCGTATATGTATATACACGATTATTCTATTCTAATATATATATATAATGTAACTGCAGTGTTACTACTGAACTGTAGTATCTTAATGATATATACATTGTATATGTATATGTATACAATGTAACTGCATTGTTCTGCCAACGTATATCTATAACTAATACAGATGTATTGATTTGACCATTCTGTATTGTCAAGATGACATCTTGTAGCACATTTATATGTACCGGAGTGAACTAAAGAAACTAACTTGAAACTAGTATGGCCACATACCAAACACTAAACATTTAGTCAGCACCTCAAAACTGCGACACCAAGTGATATTGAAGAATTCCATGTTTTCGTGTATAAGTAGACGAGCGCTCGGACTCCGTCAAAATGTCTGACATCAGGAACAGAGGACAATCGGGCTAAGTCAGGAGTTAACCGTTATAAAATGATTGAAGTTATTGAGAAATGGAGAAATCGGTTGATATTATGCTAATAATTCTATTAAGCAGTCAGCTGTTGTGTGTGATGTTTGATTACTCTAATTTTTGTACATATATACGTGCGATTTTTAAAACAATTCACAACTAAAAATAGAGGTATGAATAATTTAATTTGTGTCAGTTTAATGGTACGTGAAGTAAATCATAATAAAATTGATTTACTTCTCGTTTCAGGTGAAATAAAACATACAATGGCCTGTTCTAGTCTATTAACTACGGAATATTGTTACGGCGAAGCACACTGTAATATTGACAACTAACCATCGATCCCCTGGTGGTCAAAAGTTCAAGTTAACCAGTGTTTAATCGGGAAAAACGTATTTTCTGCCACTGAACAACAAGCGTATTAAAATCAAAATTTATCATTCCGACCTGTTTCAACAACACCGTAGCTGTGAAATGTTGAATAATGTTTCCAATTTTGTTGGAGTCATGCTTTGTCGTTTTTTTCTGACCACTGGTTATCTATAATAAGCCTATGGACGACCGGGACCAGTATTAAGCTATACATGTATACCATATCATTGTCATGGTTACCTTACTCTTAGTATATATATATATATATATATAATACTTATCTGACAACATTTGACAAAGGGACAATGACAACATGTGTTAAAGCGAACCAATCAGATATGACACACATTCTATATTTGAATTATGATTAGCGTTAGCAGAAGTGTGTTGTTGTTGTATAAACTGTCTGAGCCTCTTTACGAGGTTCGTATCTGTTCTTGCCATGTACTTAATATCGGAAGATAACTTTCAACATCTATTACCAAGTCGTGAAATATCTTTGATCTGCTAGAATTATCTGAGAATTCCTGTTAAACTCGGATCGGAATAACCTGTAAACTGTAACAAAACGGTACGTAATTAACCTGCGAAGTTACAAAACTCTGTCTTCACAATGAGGATCATCATTATCTACAAGTAAGTTACATCAAAATATCTAATAATATATATCACTGTCTATAAAAAATAGCAAAAGTACAAAATCAAAATATAAACAAATAGTTGTGACTTGATCATCGTTGTTTGTAACTTAAATGGTTACGAAAACAATATCGGTCAAGTTTTTTTATCTGATAGTACAGAACCAGAAATATCACCGAGCATCGCGACACATCACATCGTTACATAACCGGATATCCGGTGCAGGGCGCTATAATCTGCTTCCTGTGTATGTCAGCTCAGTTCTAACCTCACCAATAGCACATTCTTTTATATTAATTCTCCCCTGGAATTTCGGATTGTGAACTTCCTCGTATGACGGTGGAGGGAGTTCGTATGGAGGGGGTGGATCGGCTGTGACTTCAGACATGGGTTGTTCCACCCTAAATGGACGTTGTGGATATACTGCATCTGACATGGCAATCGTTTGTAAGGTAAAGTCTACTGATGGGGACGGCTGCAGATTTTTCACTGGTAAACACACATCAAGACACTTCCATATTAAACAAGATTTTCCTTCATTGTGGGCGTTTCTTCTCAAGGCGTACATTGTCACAAAAAAGGCACCAAACGCTGCTACGCTAAGCACGCAACCAATGGCTATTAAAACTGCTGCAAAAATTAAAATCATCAATGTTAGGTAATCCAATCAGAACAAAACTTCCTTAAGTTAAGTTATTTGATCTTTATAAAACTACAGTTTACAATTTTAGACCTGGCTTCAAGTAGGTGAGAATTTGTTTGTATGGTTTCACTGACATTGTATAGAAAGCATTGTTTAAGTAAACACGAACAATTAACAGATGTTGGATTCTTTCATCCGTGCATTCTCTACAATATCTATACTGAATTATAAGTAAGATAGGATAAACCTCGCCATTTCTGTCACGTGACAGCAAACTTACAATTATCAGACCTAGCATTCGCTGTGACTGTAATGGTTACTCTCGATGATGTTTTATGAGACACTGTAAACTTGATGTAAAGCTCTTTTGACTGAGCACAGTATTTCCTCTTCACAGAACCACAATTAATTGTCTGGAAAAAAAGAGAGAAAAATCAAACGAAATGAAAGTTATCCCAAACAGAAATATTTCTCCTATTTCCTTATTGTTTCTATAACCTTGAAAATTTCCAGCGATGTTGTGGAAACATCTTGCTCGATCACTTTCGCTCTCCGCACCCCTGGAACATGTCATGGCAAAATTAAAGGCACGAGCGAAGTAATTGGATTGGTTCCAGTAGGAAAAAAAATGACCAATCACAGACAGATACGCTCCTTTTGAAGATTACAAAGAAGCGACACCCAACTTCAAAGCCATTACATTATACCGTTATGCGGCCTGGAGATTTGTTGATGTACATAAAAGAATCCAACTGGTTTTTTGCCTCGTCTGCAAGGTGTCGCACACTGAACCTTCAATTTTACCATGACAAATGCCGGGGATGCAGAGAACGAACGTGATTGTAACCTCTGGAGTATCGAGGATGGTGATCAATGTTATGGAAACTCGTGAAAGATTTACCTGTTTTAAATCCAAGGATGTCAATGAAACCCATGATAGGTTTACCTGGTTCAAATCCGAAAATGTTAAGGAAACTCGTGACCGATTTACCTGTTTTAAATCCAAAGATGGACCTTCAAAGTATTTCATATGAAAAGCACACGTTTCCAAAGAAAATGTCTCGATATTGACACAGAGTTTAAATGTATCTGAATCTGTGATATTAAATCCCACAATGCAGTCCTTAGGAAGGGTACGCCCGTCCCACGTCAGAGAGTATGACGTCACTGAAGATCCCGCGCCCTCAACTACATGGGACGGTTCAGCACAGGTGACGTTTGAGAGTTCAAAAGAAACCGCTGAAATATAAAAAAAAAAACCAGTGTATATGATGATTTCTTGTTTTTTCATACTGGGTTGTATTAGAACAGACATATATCACATTGTTATGAAATACGTTATATCTGCCATCAGGTTGTTCAAAACGACGAGACATTTACAAATCATATAGTATATCTAACAAGACACAATGTGGCATTATATACTTATTCCCTACAGACACACCATGTCGTATTATATACTTATTCCCTCCACAGACACACCGTGTCGTATTATATACTTATTCCTTACAGACACATCATGTCGTATTATATACTTATTCCCCACAGACACATCATGTCGTATTATATACTTATTCCCTACAGACACACCATGTCGTATTATATACTTATTCCCTCGACAGACACACCATGTCGTATTATATACTTATTCCCTCGACAGACACACCATGTCGTATTATATACTTATTCCCTCGACAGATACACCATGTCGTATTATATACTTATTCCCTACAGACACACACCATGTCGTATTATGTACTTATTCCCTCGACAGACACACCATGTCGTATTATATACTTATTCCCTCGACAGACACACCATGTCGTATTACATACTTATTCCCTCCACAGACACACCGTGTCGTATTATATACTTATTCCCTCCACAGACACACCATGTCGTTTTATATACTTATTCCCTACACAGAGACACACCATGTCGTATTATATACTTATTCCCCACAGACACACCATGTCGTATTATATACTTATTCCTTACACACAGACACATCATGTCGTATTATATACTTATTCCCTACAGACACACCGTGTCGTATTATATACTTATTCCCACCACAGACACACCATGTCGTATTATATACTTATTCCCTCCACAGACACACCATGTCGTATTATATACTTATTCCCTACAGACACACACCGTGTCGTATTATATACTTATTCCCTACAGACACACCATGTCGTATTATATACTTATTCCCTACAGACACACCGTGTCGTATTATATACTTATTCCCTACAGACACACCGTGTCGTATTATATACTTATTCCCTACACACGACACACCATGTCGTATTATATACTTATTCCTTACACACAGACACACCATGTCGTATTATATACTTATTCCCCACAGACACACCATGTCGTATTATATACTTATTCCCCACAGACACACCATGTCGTATTATATACTTATTCCCTACACAGACACACCATGTCGTATTATATACTTACTCCCTACACAGACACACCATGTCGTATTATATACTTATTCCCTACACACGACACACCATGTCGTATTATATACTTACTCCCTACACAGACACACCATGTCGTATTATATACTTACTCCCTACACAGACACACCATGTCGTATTATATACTTATTCCCTACACACGACACACCATGTCGTATTATATACTTATTCCCTCCACAGACACACCGTGTCGTATTATATACTTATTCCCTACACAGAGACACACCATGTCGTATTATATACTTATTCCCTACACAGACACACACCATGTCGTATTATATACTTATTCCCTACACAGAGACACACCATGTCGTATTATATACTTATTCCCTACAGACACACACTATGTCGTATTATATACTTATTCCCTACAGACACACACCGTGTCGTATCATAAACTTATTCCCTACACAGAGACACACCATGTCGTATTATATACTTATTCCCCACAGACACACCATGTCGTATTATATACTTATTCCCTACACAGAGACACACCATGTCGTATTATATACTTATTCCCTACAGACACACACCGTGTCGTATTATAAACTTATTCCCTACACACGACACACCGTGTCGTATTATATACTTATTCCTTACACACAGACACACCATGTCGTATTATATACTTATTCCCTACACAGACACACCATGTCGTATTATATACTTATTCCCTCCACAGACACACATCATGTCGTATTATATACTTATTCCCTGCAGACACACACCGTGTCGTATTATATACTTATTCCCTACAAATACACACCATGTCGTTTTATATACTTAATCCCTACGCTTAGACACACTATGTCTTGTAATACAATTATCTCATATACCTAGACACATGGTGTCGCATTTTCTTACTGTACTTAAAATTTTCCCTTTACCAATAATGTGTTGCTTTATAGCTCCGCTGTCTGAAACGTGGCGGAAATTTTACAATTTTAAACCCGTTTTTCTCAAAACGTAACGTTTCGAGATTCGAACTTACCCTCTGCAAGGCGAATACTCTCCCCGAGCACCAGTAGTGTAGCAATGCACGTCACCAGCATGTCTGCTGTAGGTTTGGCAATATCGATGTCATGAAGGTCACGGTCACCTGTCACCATATAAGCACGTGGTTAACGGCGATGATGTGGTACTGAAAGAAGACAGCAGGATCAGTTATACGAACAAGATACCTTACGACACACGTATATCCAACAGGTACACTACTGACCTAGATTTAGCTTACTGAAATACCCTATATAAAAAGTATTCGTGTATATTTTGTCTAAATATAAACATACATTAAAGTGGGTATGTAAAAGGAAACTCCCACAAAATACAATACATTGTTCACAGGGTCCATGATATATACGGCGATTCTACTGATATCTTGTAATAACTTCTTAATCAAAATTTTGTTTCTGCACTTCAACATTTTAGAAAAGTCATTGAAAACACGTGTACGCTGCCATATCATGAAATGATCATAAATCCAGTGTCCTGTTGTCATTTCAAATAAACACATGAATCGTGTCTGACCCATAGAACGTTACTCTGTCGGTGAAATAATATGCTGAATGTATGAAAAGTTTCCGATATATATATCATACATAATGTATTCTATTCCACGAAAATCAATTTCCGCTTCTAATCTTCCAGTCCGCATAAATAGTCCAATGTTTCTCGGATAATTCTGTGTTGGTTTAGAAATATAACAATAATAATGAAAACGACTAGCTCTATCTGCCCCACGGACGAGTATTGAGGAAACCCGACCATCTGGTATCTACACAACATTAGCCGTGGTGTTATGGAGTCGGAGACCGCCTCCATCTGAAAGACTGGATATGCTTGATGATGGAATCGATAGCCAGAGAGATGAAACACTCGAGATTTCCAATCGATAAAACTCTTTGTGTGAACACTAATATGCAGTATGAAACTTAAGTGAACTGATTAAAAGGTTTTACAGTTTTTATATAAATGCTCCGAGTGACAGATTGAGTGAATCTCGCGACGAAAGAAAACAAAAGATAATAATAGATCAATTATGACGTAGTTCTCGATTAGGTAATTAAAATCTACTCCGAACTCTCTCTGTTAATAAACTCGTTGTAATCAATGTTATGATAGACGTGATATCACAACACTTTTAGTACATGTCCTTGTTATTATACAAACCAATCATAATTGACAAGCCTTGAATGTTGAACCTAATTGGTTACATTGTATAGAAAATATACATACCTGTAAACTCCACCATTAAAATCCGATATGTTACTGTTATGTACACACTCATATACATATAGCACAACAGATGTTACAGGGCATATAATCTAGATTCGCCGTTTTCTGTAAGTCCGATGAAGTACAACATATATATTAATATGTAGAGTAGATACATATGGAAGTTTATAAAGAATTAACGAACCGGAAGAACCACAGTGTAATAATAATAATAAATAACAATCTTGGTCATTGTTTACCTTTCCTGACAGTAAATATATACCAACCATTTGGTTACGTTGCCGTGGGCAACACATGGACACGGAAGGTATTTGTCATAGTTTAGCCGAAAGACAGCAAAACAGTCGGACAGTAAACACAATAGCTGTGGGTCATGTATCATTTACCAGTAAATCGCACGTTAAATTGTAGGAGGCATCGGGGTGAATAGAAAACACTGACCTAATAAGAATCTGAGATCAAGAAGTTACGGTATCGAGATCCAGTAAACAGAAATAAGGAGAATGATGTATAAATCGGCGTTAATGAATTGCTGGATATAAATGGGGAGGAAACATTTGCAACGTTATTTTTCTCACTTATAGCCTACACAAAGAGTATTTCTTTCTTCTGGTTGGTTTTTATTCTACCCCCTGGGACAGAAATATCCACACGTCCGATGATGATAAGATATATCTAATTACACGAACACTCGGAACATAAACACGTGCTAAACCGGAAGTTGAGAGTTTTAGACGTGTGAGACGTGACTGATTGATGTTGACAGTACAAGATAAGTTTAATATCATTGTAAGACAGTGTCTGTTCATCTTTGTATAATGTGTATAATGCATTTTACGCAAAATATACACAACTGTTGTTATTTGCTTGATTTTGTTTCCATATGTGTCAGCGTGTTTTTGTCTCGTTATTCCATTTCTAGTTTGCTGGAGATATGAAGAAGAAAAATGATCATTTCAAAGCCTGAGTGCAGGACAAAGAAATCTCTACCCTCGGAGGAGAATCCTGACAGTTTAATCCTCGGTAAAGCCTCGGGTTAGACACTCAAGAATCTCATCCTAGGGAAGAGATTTGTCTGTTCTACCCTCCAGCTAGGGAAAGATTCTATTACTCCACAACTAACGATATAGATGAACTTCTTGTTGTCACAATGTACCAGACGACACTTGCACCATTCAGACTATTCGGCTATACAACAACTGTTTGCACACAATGTGTTTGCTGCACTTCCTCTTCCTTCCAAACATACACGAGAAACAGAAATTGTCCCACAATACTTGTATGATTGCAATACACACCATAGAGAAAAGTCACCCTTTGGGCTCGTGGAAGTTATCGAAATTCAATAAATCGATTACGCCACACTCAATCGAGAGTCTGATTAGAAAACACGTATGACGTGGTGATATCGCTGAGTACAGTTGATGGGTCAAGAGACTAAAGGAGGCAATAGTTATAACCCAGCAATAAATGGTCACGTGACAACACCAGCTATTGGATCAAAATTCCTTTGAGAAATTCGATTTTGTTATCAATGTTGAGACCACCGTATCCCAGCCTTCCAGAACTAGACATAAGTTATGTAAAGCACTGACCATGTTGGACAATGCTACGTATACACAGATATACAGATAATGTTATCATACAGTTATCACACCCAGTACAACAGCGATGGTGCAACTGTTAAATTATTGGTTGTAAATATTGTACTTGGTCATTGTTATTTATCTACTGTAGTGTATAGAGGAGATTACCACCTGTTCTTCTCTAATGAGATTAAAGAATCTAACAGATAACTGGTCAAACTCACAGACTCAACAACACGACCTCTTCCTCTATTGTAATGTCATAATAATAGTAAATACAGTTAATAGTTTTAAGGCGAGGAATTATAACACGTTTAAATTATTTTGTTGTTTTGGCGAAATCATTCTTACCTGCAGTCTAAAAAATAACAGTGGTCCCTCTGCGGATTAGTAAGCTTCCCTTTAATGTCTGAAAAAATACGTGAGTGATAAGCCATGGGCACTGCGAACAAAGTCACGAAAGGGCGATAACAACACTGAATAGACGATGTATTTACTTAAACGTCTCACGTCCATTATTACGGTCTTTCAGCCTTTCAGTGGACAATACGAAACAGACCCAGCACCCTTATTTTCACAGCCTCTTGACTCGTTGATGAGATATAACGTTTTACAAACATTACACCGAAACGATACAGGGATGCATATCTAGTATACAATATGGACATATTAAAAAGAATTGGTGTTAACTTTATAGAAACAATGTACGTACTTGACCGTAATAGTGGACGTTAAGTCCATCAACTAAATAAATAAACACTACTGAATTATGATGACGTTCATGCAACGGACGTGGTCCCGTCCACGATGTTATATGTACACGTGCGAAAAAAACCCGACCAAGCAGGACCGTATAATAACTTATATATAGATTTATTCTTTGTTCGTGGCACAAGTATAATGCATAAATCTACTATACATATAGAACATACAGCAGTACTTGTACAACATAAAAAAAAAACAAAACAGCGGAACATACACATAATACAAACTACATATACAGAATACAAAACAATAGAACATACACAGAATACAAAACAACAGTACATACACAGAATACAAAACAACAGTACATACACAGAATACAAAACAACAGAACATACACAGAATACAAAACAACAGTACATACACAGAATACAAAACAACAGTACATACACAGAATACAAAACAACAGTACATACACAGAATACAAACTACATATACAGAATACAAAACAATAGAACATACACAGAATACAAATCAACAGTACATACACAGAATACAAAACAACAGAACATACACAGAATACAAACTACATATACAGAATACAAAACAACAGAACATACACAGAATACAAAACAACAGAACATACACAGAATACAAAACAGCAGAACATACACAGAATACAAAACAGCAGTACATACACAGAATACAAAACAACAGTACATACACAGAATACAAAACAACAGTACATACACAGAATACAAAACAGCAGTACATACACAGAATACATATAAAACAACAAGTACATACACAGAATACAAACACAACATACATATACAGAATACAGAATACAAAACACAAACACAAACAGAACATACACAGAATACAAAACAACAACTACATATACAGAATACAAAACAACAAAACAAGTACATACACAGAATACATACAAACTACAGAATACAAAACAACAGTACATACACAGAATACAAAACAACAGTACATACACAGAATACAAACTACATACAAAACAAGAACATACAGAATACAAAACACATAACAGAATAGAACATACACAGAATACAAAACAACAGTACATACACAGAATACAAAACAACAGTACATACACAGAATACAAACTACATACACAGAATACAAAACAACAGAACATACACAGAATACAAACTACATATACAGAATACAAAACAACAGAACATACACAGAATACAAACTACATATACAGAATACAAAACAACAGTACATACACAGAATACAAAACAACAGAACATACACAGAATACAAAACAGAATACAAAACAACAGTACATACACAGAATACAAAACAACAGAATACATACACAGAATACAACAGAAAACAGAATACAAAACAACAGTACATACACAGAATACAAACTACATACACAGAATACAAAACAACAGAACATACACAGAATACAAAACAACAGTACATACACAGAATACAAAACAACAGTACATACACAGAATACAAAACAACAGAACATACACAGAATACAAAACAACAGAACATACACAGAATACAAAACAACAGAACATACACAGAATACA